AATTTTCGCAATCTTTACTGCCACCATGTTTATCCATTTCTTTGGATTGCCTATTTTATGGCAGCTTTGTTCCAGGGATTGAGGACTGTCAACAAATGTTCTCCCTAACTGTGAAAACAAGAACTCTTGGAACCTCCCTGGGGTGTAAGACTGGAGAAGGGTGGGGGGTGAAGTCAAAGCTTCCAGGAGGAAGAAGGAGGGAGGCCTGCGGGATAGCCTTGTAAAAAATGAGGGAAAGCAATTTCAGGCAGAGCACCTCTCCCTAGTGCATGGGCCCTGACACCTGAGTGGCCAGTTCAAGGCTCAGGGGAGGAAAACTAGTAAAGCTATAGCTCTAGAAAGAGTGGAGGGAAACGAGAAGAGATAAAATAGTTAAGAGTGAGGAGAAGAGATGTGGCTACAAGTTAGCAGGACTTAGACAAGGAAGGCTTTGTAAATTAATCTCATATATGAATTCTACATTGGTATCTCATCTCTCTGGGATTTGAATGACAATATATGTCCTTTTTCAAATTTCTTTTTGGGTTGGTTGTGGGGCTTAAACTCAGGGCTTGGGCACTGTCCCTAAGCTTTTTTTTTGGGGGGGGGGTCCAGTCGTGGAGCCTGAACTCTGGGCCTGGGCGCTGTCCCTCAGCTCTTCAGCTCAAGGCTAGCGCTCTACCACTTGAGCCACAGCGCCACTTCCGGCTTTTTTCTCATGTGGTGCTGAGGAATCGAACCCAGGGCCTCATGCATGCAAGGCAAGCGCTCTACCACTGAGCCACCATCCCAGCCCCTGTCCCTAAGCTTTTTCAAGGCTGGCACTCCCCCACTTTGAGCCAGAGCACCACTTCTGGTTTTCTAGTGGTTAATTGGAGATAGGAGTCTCACTTTCCTATGTGGCTGGCTTTGAACCATGATCCTCTGATCTTGGCCTCCTGAGTTGCTAGGATTACAGGCATGAGTCACTAGCCCCTGGCCTAAATATTTTTTTTTCAGTTCCAACTTTTATTTTAATAAAATCAGAATATGCACAGTACATGTAGTATGTAGTTCTGGCTTATATTCTTATATTCTTAATTTTTTGTTATTTTTACATGATTAAAAAAATCACCATATCCTTTAGGAAATTCACAGTCTAATGAACAACATTTTGGGAAAACAATTACTAAAGTCATCATGGCTAGTAAATATTTAAAAGTACAAGATTAGTAATTTCTAAGATCTCATTCAATTTAAGATTTATATCCAGCCTTATTTCACCTATGACTGAACTGATGGCACAATAGTTTGATACTGATGAGTATAATCATACAAAATTACGATTCCATTTTCAGTAGTATACTAACAGTATGTTGTTACACTGACATGATGAAATGTATTTTAAGGCTGGTGTTTACATGTACCTTGTGTTATTGTGGGGTTTCAAATAAGACAAGTACAGTTGCCTGTAGCATCAGTTAACTGGTGCTGAAGTGCTTTTGAGGATTAAACATGTGTCTAAGAACACGCTCAGGAACAACCAGAGAGAATCCTCAAGACAGTCATGGCCATTTGATTTCCACCCACTTAGTTTTCTATTACTTTTAGGGATGACCTTCATTAACGGAGTCACTAACATCTAATAAACCTACGCCCTTCAGACTCACAGCTGGGTCAGGCTCTGGCATTAGGTGAAGGAGGACTGGGGCGACCAGTGTATTACAGAGTAACAAGTCAATGAGCCAAGCAATGATTGATTCCTTAGGGAACAGGCAAATTAAACAAGTTCACAACCTTGGGCTGTGCACACTGGTTTGAGCTCTTGGCTTGTTCATTTACACCTTTTTCTTTTCATGTTGACAGGGTCTCATTATGAGCCTAGACCTCAACGCTTGATCCTTTTGCCTCAGTCTCCAGAGGTCTAGGATTCCAGGGTTGCACTTCCATTCCAAACACATCACATTTATATCTTAATTTTCTTCTTTAACTTTACTATTGGAATGATAACCCATGCATGATAGAACATGGAAAACCTATATCAAATTATTCCTAATCCTACTCAGGAGGCTGAGGTCTAAGGATCATGATTCCAAGCAGCCTGAGCAGAAAAGTCCATACTTTTTTTTCATTTTTCTTTTTTTATTGTTATTACAAAGATGATGTACAGAGAGGTTACTGTTACATAAGTCTGGTAAAGAGTACATTTCTTTTTGAACATGATACTCTTATCTCCAATTAACCAGCAAAAAGCCAGGTGTGGTGCTGTGGCTAACATGGTAGAGTGCTGGCCTTGAAAAGTTAAAGGACAGGACTCAGGTCCTGAGTTCAAGTCCCAGTTCTGGCACCAAAAAGACAAAACAAACCCTTAAGTTTAACAGTGTGACTTCTTATATCTTAGTAAGTAAATTCAGTAGGAAGTTTTGAGGGTTTTTGAGTGGTTTTGAGGGTCTTTACCCCAAATCTAAACAATCACAATCTGACTAAATAGACAAGCTGAAGAAAACACATGCTTTGTTTAAAAACTGTATTTATAAATATACCACCAATACAAATCCTCATCTCCTGCTCCTTCAGCTCTCTAGGCCAGTTCTGGCTCTGTGTCAGGTTGAATACAACTGTGTCCATCCATTTTCTGATCTTTTTAAAAATTTTCTTGTGCACATGCACACACACACACACACACACACACAC